GCGCTCGCGGGCTGCTCCTGCCCGAGCGGCTGCGACGCACGCCCTCTCTCCTTCCCTCCTCCCGTTTCCACCGGGGGCTCCCTGGCCTGCCGTCAGTCCTCCCCGCTCTCTCCGCTCTGGCCACTTTCCTCGGAAACCCTCCTGCCGGCAAAGTTTGATGGAGCATTTCACACGACGCTGGGAAAATGCCGGTTATGAAAGGATTACTGGCGCCCCAGAACACCTTCCTGGACACCATCGCCACCCGTTTTGACGGAACACGTAAGTCTCGGACTTAGACGGGTCGCGTGGCATTTTTGAGAAGGGTTTTGGTCGTGTGTGTTACTTTTGCTGCCGCCGAAGTGAATTTGCTGCTGTTTTTGCCTAGGTGTCTTGAGTGAGATTTTGTTTGTTTATTTCTTTCCTTTTCACTTCTCTGCTTTTGGGGGTATTCACATTCTGCATGAGTGTAGTTCTATGTCTTGACGTTTTATGTTTGTAAAGGTCTCGACCCCCTGCCCCTCGCCCCGTGAGACACTCACGACCTTGTCCACTGTGGAACTCTTGGCACCTCTTTTAGGGAATCGGTTGTAATTTTATGAAATGAAAACTGGTACTTGATCCTATCACTGTATTTGGCTGTCTGTACTCCTAGAGCGTGAAGACTTCCTTGACGATAGGTTCTATTCCTGGGAGTTTGGAATGTTCTTCCAGTACAATCCTCCCTCCTCTCCCAGGAGGTCCCTCTCTGAGGAAAGGGTTCCCATCTGAGTTTCACCGGGAAGCAGACTAGAATCTAGATGATTTTCAGCTTGCTGTAGAATTCCAAGTGTTGTGAGTTTTTCAAAACATTGATTCCAGCTTTTTGGACTATATTAACATGCCCCTTAATCCTGAAATTAAGATACTGCTGGAGGGAAGAGTGCTGGGGAGGGCGGAGGTGTACTTTTCAAAGGCTGATCATAAAAGAAAGTATTATTACTAACTTAGGATGACAATGATTATTAGGCACTTACTTCATTAAGCGACACAACACACACACGCACACAAAGTGGAACATGTTTGAAATCCTCTGCAAAAGGTTCTTTTTCAGCACCATGGTCAGGTCCCGATCGCTTTCCAAGTTGCTCAGGCTATTGCAGCCCATTTCTCTTCCTACCAGGTTGTCCTGTTGTTAGCTGTCATTTGCTCTGACTCATAACAACCACAGAATGAAAGACAGCCCAGTCTGGTGCCGTTCTCACCATCCTTGCTATGTTTGAGCCTCTTGTTACCACCACTGTCAACTCATCTTCCTAAGGGTCTGCCTCTTTTCCGCTCACCTTCTGCTTCTCCAGTGACTGGTCTCTCCTGATAACATCCCCCAAACACGGGAGATGAAATCTTGCCATCCTGGCTTCTATGAAGCCTTCCGACTGTACTACTTCTCACTCTTCTTCTGGCAGTTCGTGTGTTCAGTGTTCTTCCCCAATGCCATTATGCAAAGGCATCAGTGTTTCTTTGGTGCTCCTTAACCACAGGCACAAGCGGTGACAGAAAAGGCCATTGCTTGGATCAGGTGCGTCTTAGTCTTCAAAGACACATCTTTGCCTTAAAACCACTTACAAGGAAATCCTTTGTAGCAGATTTGCGTGCTGTCCTATGTGGTCCAATTTCTTGACTGCTGCTTCCAGGGATATTGCTTGTGGATCCAAGTAAATGAAATCTTTGACAACTCCAGCGCTCACTCCTGGAAATCCCAGCCCAGTGCATTCCACTGTGCCCCTAGGGCTCTCTGTTTATTAGTTTGGTTGTGAGGATTTTTGTTTTGTTCTCTTGGGTATTTTATTTATTGTTTGTATTCCTTGTGTTAAAGAGCAGGACGACAAAGTAAAATATTCTAATGACATGTGCAGAGTCCTATAGTAGGAAACCAAAAGGGGGAAAACATGCTCAGCATTTCGGAAGCTAAAAGAACAGAAGACAAATTAAAGCCTCAGGTTGCAATATTGAAAGGTGTTACAGGTGAAACAAACAAAGAAACACTGAATGATGCAGGAAGAATCCAAAGAAAATGGAGGGGAAATACTGTGACTATGCAAAAAGGAAAAAATGGTAAGGGACTAACCATTTCAGAAGGTAGTGTATGGTCAAGAACTGATGATATGAAGGAAGAAATCCAGACTGCTTTGCAAGTCACTGCCATCAGTCAATGCTGACCTATTGTGACCCCCTGTGGGTTTCTGAGACTAACTCAGTGGTTCTCAACCTTCCTAATGTCGTGACCCTATAATACAGTTCCTCATGTTGTGGTGACCCTCAACTATAAAATTACTTTTGTTGCCACTTCATAGCTGTAATTTTGCTACTGTTATGAATTGGGCAGCCCCTGTGAAAAGGTTGTTCAGCCCCCACAGGGGTCACAACCCACAAGTTGAGAACCACTGCTCTTACTATTTACAAGAGTAGAAGGTCCAGTTTTTCTCCTGTGGAGCTGCTGGTCATTTCTAATTGCTGACCATGAGGATCGCAGGCCAATGAGTAACCACAACACCATGAGGGCTCACAGGACTGCACTGAAGGCACTGATTAAAGCCAGATCTCCAGATAGCGAAGACTACCAACTGAGGCCTTTAACAAATGGTTGTAACAACCCTGGAAGTGCTCATGCATCTATGCTAAGAAATCTGGAACATAGCTACCTAACCAGCTGACTGATCTATATTTATGCCTATCTAGAAGAAAGGTGATTCAATAGAATGAGGAAATTATTAAACAATGTCATTAATACTACATGAAAAATTATGCTAAAGTTAATTTTAAAATGATTGTAGCACATCATTGACAGGGAATGGTCAGAAATTCAAACCAGGTTCAGAAGGGATCATTGCTGATGTCACATAGAACTTGGCGGAAAGTAAAAAATACCAGAAATATACTTAGTGCATTTTATTAAGACTATGCAAAGGTATTCATCTGTGCAGAGCATGAACATTTATGAATAACATTGTGAATGATGAGAATTTCAGAACCCTTAAGTGTTGGAACTTTCAGTAGACCCAGAGGCTCATATAGAACAAGGGGAAACGTCATAGTTTAAGATCAGGAAAGGCGGGCATCTGGGTGGTATCATTTGACCACGCTTCTTCAGCCTCTGAGCTGAATAAGTAATCTGAGAAGGTGGACTGTATAAAGAAGAATAGGACAACAGGATTGGAAAAAGGTAATCTGTGATTTGCAGGTGACACAACCTGCCTTGCTTGAAAGGAAGGACGACTTAAAGCAATTGCTGATCAATAACTGTAGACTCCAGTATTGATTACACCGGAACACAGCTGGCTGTGGCGCTTGCCCAGTGGTGCAGTGGGTGTACTGGGCTATGCAGTCGCGCTGCTAACCACAAGGTCGGCAGTTTGAAACCACTAGCAGCTCCTTGGGAGGAAGATGAGGTTCTCTACTCTCTTAAAGAGTTACAGTCTGTGAGTTAGGACTATGAGAATCAACTCAGCGGCAGCGGGTTTGAGGTTTTTATTTCTGCCCGACACAAATTATCTTAATCGTTTCATGATGATTATCCATACTTTCCTCTGTGCTTCTGCTGCTTCTCTGTGCTAGTTTCCTTTTTTATGTCTACCACACAAGACACAAAGGAACTCTTTAATATTAGAGATTTTCTCAGTGGTCCAAGTATCATCATTTTTACTGTGACTGTTTCTTGGAGGTAACATTGGATAGGACATTGAATGTCATTTCTCATCCAGTAGTGCAGGAAAGCAGACCTTGGATTTTGCTTAAGGAATTCTTATGAAGAGGAACATTAGCAAGAAATTGAGCATCTGATTTGATTTTTTAAAATTTATAGCCTAATCATGGTGTTTTGGTATGAAAAATTTTCAAATCTTTCAGGATTTTAATATTTAGCTTTAGTCATTGTCTTCCTTTGTAGATTCTAAGTATTTGGATGGTAGATTCTAAAGTATTCAGGCTTCATGAGTATGGTGCAGTACTTTTATTTTGCACTTACCATCTTTTAGTACTAAGGAAATGATAATATAAGAAAACCTCAAGTTCTCATGCTCACTGCTGCTGTCTTTAACCAGGCATGCTTATGGGCGCTGCTCTTGGTTACCTGAGAAACTCATCAGTTTCCTGTGGATGTTTGATTTTGATATGACACATTTTAAACCAAAGGCCCTTGATTAGAAATCATCTATGCTTCTGCTGAAAATTTCCTATTAGGAAGGTTGGTAGTTGCCTATCTCATTGTCATTTAAAGTTGAGTGGAATGCAATGTTCAGTGAATCCCCCAGCATGGTTAAGGAATTACTACAGAAATATACTCAGGTTCAGTTGTTAATGAGAAACATTAGCTTAACAGTGTGAGGCTACCTGGGCCTCTCTCTGGCTCTCTCCATAACAACATTTCTACAGGCACACATGTAGGCTTGATAGGTGTACTAGTGAATACCTCTTTTAGCAAATCATTAATAATATGGAAATAGAAAGTTTGAATATTTAAAGCCTACTTTGGGAAGATCATCCTCATATACCAACCATAAGAACAATAAGGAAACTAAATAACATTGGAGATCATGCTTGATCTGAAGAATTCCTAAAGCAGCAGTTCTCAACCTGTGGGCCATGACCCCTTTGGGGGTCGAATGACCCTTTCACAGGGGTTGCCCAATTCATAAGAGTAGCAAATTAGTTATGAAGTAGGAACAAAAATAATTTTATGAATGGGGGGTCACCACCACAAGAGGAACTGTATTAAAGGGTCACAGCATTAGGAAGGTTGAGCACTGCTGTCCTAGAGGGAAGCAATTTGTATGAAATTTGACAATCAATGAAGCAAATTTGAAAGTGACAACATGGAGGTTAATTTTGGTATAGATTTCATGGGCATTTAATGAATACTCCTTTTTTCAAAAAACGACAAACATGCAGTGAATGAGAGTTGTGTTTTTCACTCTTTTTACTTTTGAATTGCAATATAACTTTAATTATCTGAAAGTTTAACAAAAATAAGTGAAGTTTTAGCCACAGAGTTTTCTGTATCTAGAGTTATGGACATTTTATTTTCTAAACTAATGATTTGGTTTATCTTATTATACCACTTAAATGTGTGGATGCAGTTCTATTCTGTAAAATTACTGTCTGAAATTATTTTCTTATGACCAACCTTCTTTCTTTGGACTTTTTATAGTAATTTATTTTATTGGGCAAAATTAAACTAACTGCAAGTTTTGAATGAGTGGATGCATTCAAATCCATACTACACTGCAAAGTGAATAATATTTCTA